CTTTCCCTAACTCAGTCTTGAATTAAGAGTTTTTTGCAAGTGATTCACTTTGTTACAAGGCAGAAACTAACACATCATTGTAAAGCAATTATACTCTAATAAAGATGTTAAAAAAAAGTTTTTTGCAGGGACTTGATTAACACAGCTAAGGTGGTAATGTTCATTTGACTCTGAATCTTTATGGAATAAAGATTAGGTATGTGTGTGTATTGTGGCTCTGTCTTTTTCACAGGAGCTGGTTGGATCCCATCAAACAAACTTTTCCTTTATGCCTTTCCATAAGTAGTATTGTATCTCAACGTGTTGAATCCTGCTACTGATGAAATACTTTTCGGTCACCTATGTTCTTGAACCTCGTGTAAAGCTTTTTTATTTTAGCTGTAGTACCTTGAGCTGGTAGACTGTGCTCATCAAAGTAAAAAATCCAGTAGAATGTGTAGTCCAGGATCAAGGTGGATTTGATTGTAGAAGCTTGGCTGTTAGTTCCTGCTATGGAAATATCAAATGATATTTCTGACTCCTGGGAAACAAATACAGGAATCCTGGGCTTATGGGAATGCCTACTGGCAGAAATTCTGGGCTGGCTGAAACACAGGACTCTTGGAGCTCTCTCAAGTAGGAGGGATCAGGAAAACCACACTGAGACGGCACTTAGTTGTGAGGGCTTCATGTTTCTCTGCTTTCCATGAGAGAACTGGGCTGATGAAGGTTGGGATGATGGTGAGAGAAGAGAGAAAGCAGTCAGGACCAAGGCTGGCTTCTTTGTATTGGGCCCTGTGGGGACTTTTTAAGGTTCCTTCCCTTGTGTGTGGCGCAGAGTCACCATGACAAGTGGCACCTGCTGTAACAAGATGATTTGGATTGCATTAAATATTCATATGTTAGATTGACTCCTGTAGGGTGTGAAGTCTACAGCCACCCTTTTGCAAAGTTAGCGAACCTTATCGTATGTATGTATGTATGTATGTATTTATGGCTGCGTTGGTCTGCATACGGGCTTTCTCTAGTTGCGGCAAGCAGGGGCTACACTTCCTTGCGGTGCGTGGGCTTCTCATTTCGGTGGCTTCTCTTGCTGTAGAGCACACGCTCTAGGTGCTCGGGCTTCAGTAGTTGCAGCACGTGGGCTCTAGAGCGCAGGCTCGGTAGTTCTGGCTCACAGGCTTAGTTGCCCCATGGCGTGTGGGATCTTCCTGGACCAGGGATTGAAGCTATGTCTCCTGCATCGGCAGGCGGATTCTTAACCACTGCGCCCCAGGGAAGTCCCAGTGAACCTTTTTTAAAACGTGGAAATAAGCTAACAAAGTAATGGTCAGGGTCTTTTCCCATTCCCATCCCCCAAAAGTTTGTGATTGGTTGGCTTCAAATCCCAAAATTCTAGAAGCAACTGAAGCATGCAAATATGGCTAAAATGTGGTATTCAAAATAAATTGGCACTGAATAGTTCTTTCCTGCCAGTGAGATGGGATGATACCTTGGTCTCTGAAATGGGGTCCTGATTCCCTTGGCTTTCATTTCTGGGTTTAGATTGGTCATTATCATTACTGATGTGCATCGAGTTGTGTGTGGTATAGTAGTGAGCAGTAAAGAGTGCAGGACTCAGAAGGAAGAGGAGCTTTGGTTCCACATGCAGCTCTGGATTAAGCTGTGTGACTTTGGGCAGGGCATTTGCCTTCTCTGTTTCATTTTCTCTTCGCTGGTAAAGCGAAGCTGGTGAACTGCATAACCTTCTCTGATGCTACACATCTGTCTGTGCTTCCATATCTGGCTTGTTAGGAGGGCAGCTTCTTCCTGTACCTTTTTCAGTAGGGATCCTGAGACCATCTTTCTTTCCTTGGGCTCAAGGAACTCAAGTCTGTTTTCTCTTGAGGAATTACAGGAACAAGCTCTAAATAGTTGGGTGCCACTGTGGTCTGTGGCCCTTCACAGAAAAAGCCCTACCAGATTGTTTTGCTTTGAGACTGTTAATCTGTTTGTCATTAGTCATTCCACCTGGCTGGTGGTATTAATACACTAAACAGTAATTGAAAAATTAGACTTCATTAGAGCAAGACTTGAAAAATAGTTCCTTCAGAATCTCCATGAGGGGATTTTGGCTAGATTAGGGAGGGGGTGAGGAGTGGA